ACTGTTTACTGAGATCAGGATGGATTAACACTGGCGCAGACGTGAATAGTTCTTTCAGCTTAGAAAAGGCAGCATCAGTCTCCTGACTCCAGATGAAGGGAAGTTTAGAAGATGTAAGGCAGGTAAGGGGAGTGGCTTTTTGACTCTAATTTCTTATAAAGTGGCGATAGAAATTGGCAAAGCCCAGAAAACGTTGTAAGAGTTTTCGCGATGTTGGAACGGGCCACTCGACAACTGCTTTAACCTTAGCTAGGTCAGTCCTGGGTCATCTGTCCCCCTGCGAGGATGTAACGACACGGAAGGAGAGTGGAACTCACATTTTTCAGCTTTGACGAATAATTTGTTCTACAGCAGCCAAAGTCTGACCTGCAAACAACTATATTAAACTGTAACTTGTCCATCCCAAAAACTTGATTCTGTTCATCTGGACGTAGCGTTTTCAGTGGTAGAAATGTTTCATTACCAACCTTATAAACAGTATATTTGCATAATAACTGAAACCAGCACACTGAATGAACAATGGGCTGGGAGGTCAGTTCCTTGATCATTAATATGCAAATTGATATGAACATTGATCAACGACCACTGATCAAAGACCACTGATCAATGGCCATTAGTACTATTCTCACAGGATTTTACGTAAATGTAACTTCTCTACTCTGATAGTACAAAATAATCAAATATTACTTATTAATTCTGTTATCTATGAAAAGAGGGGAAACATCCCTCTGATATATTTGTAAAGTCCCTTCACTGAATCAGAGATTCTCCTCACAAGATTTGGTAAAACATATTCAAAGTAAAAAACAAAACAAAGCAACTCTGAAGTGAAACAGTGGCAGTAACACATGAACATCAGCTGAAATCAAACAATTAGTTTTGCTGATTAAAACATTCACACAGAACTTTGTGCTTTTCTCCCACATCTACTCTGATCAATGTATTAAATAATCAAATATTAGTTTTAGTTTTTATTAGTAAATATTAGTTATTTATTTAGTAATTACTAATATTAGGGTTTTTATTATTAGTTTTTATCTATTAAAATAAGGTGATTTTGATATGTTATTAAAGTCTCTCTTTTTTTTAAATCATAGACTATCCTTGCAAGATTTGATGAAACATATTTAAAGTAAAAACAACAAACAAACCCACAACCACCTCTGAATCGAAACAGTGGATTCTGGAACAAAGAACAACATGAGCATCGTCTGAAATCAAAAAGTTAGTTTTGGTGATTTAAACATTCACACAGAGCTTTGTGCTTTTCTCCATCACAAGATTTGATTGACTGAATGAAAACATTTAGGGTGTAACCCACAGGTGTTACAGGTATTTTCACATCACTGTCCAACTTTCTGTTATATGTGTTTCAGTCCCATGAGAACATGTTTTTTATGATGTGGTGATAGGAGAGCAGGGTTGGGTCAAATGTTAATCTGAATAATCAGAGATCACTGTCTAGTAACAGGGTCATTATGTCCAACAAAAACAAAGAAATTCTTCTCCAATGAAAAGCGAAAGCTGCTGTCCCAGATTCTTTTATGCATAGTGATCTAACTGGATTGGCAGGTTTTCTGAATCTCTACAAGATTAACTCACATAATCTGAACCAAACAAAACAATAATTCACATGAAACATACAATGCACATAAAATATTTACTTGATCTTTTGTAATATTAAACTTTCTTGTTTGAATGTAGAAGGAGAACGTGGACAGTTTCAGCAGTGTCTCTGTAATCTTTACCTCAATACGTCACTTTGAAAAGAGCAAAGGACTAGAGGTTGTAAACTCTGCGTTTTGGGTATTCTGATGCTGTTCCCAGTGTTGTGTGTGTGTGTGTGTGTGTGTGTGTGTCTGTTTTTTAAAAATACATGTTGTAATTTGTTATGAGAAGTGAGTTATGTTTCTAGTTCTTAGTCTTTTGGTAATTTAGTCAGTTCCTTTTTGTGTGCAGGTTGTTGTCGTCTCACCCATGTGTGTCCTTCCCAGTGTCACCAGTCTAACATGTCTCCCTATGGATGTCAAGTTCAGTTTTGCTGTTTCTGACTGTCTCTGCATTTGTCACTGTTTCCATTCCTCAGTGTTTGTGATTTACTGTGTTTTGTGACAGTCATTGTTTTATGTGATTTGTGTTCAGTGTTGCTGTCTCTGTCTCGTTATGTCTACTTTACTCCAGCTGTGTTCCCATGTGTCTACACCCTCGAGTGTATATCTTGTGCCTGTCTCCCTTTGTGCTTTTTCAGAGTGTATTGTTCTTTTCCAGTCTTCGTTTATCTGCTGATGTCTAGTTGATTGATGAGCCATTAAAGGGCTCGCCTTCAGTTAAACCTCCTGCTGCCAATGTGTCTGCAATTGTGGGTCCTCCTTCACCACACCCTGACAGATGGAGTGTACACTGAAAGCTCAGTAGTGTTGTCATTTTCAGTTTTTGTGTGTGACCTGACAGCACTGATGTTGTTTTGAAGTTTGTTGAACTTCATTTGCAAATTTGGTTTGGTTTGGAAATTTGAGAATATGATGACGTGATTCCAGAAATGTTTTTTCTTGAAAAGAGAAAACTATAGGTCAAGTTCTCTGGCTTGCATCAAAAGTATTAGAACAAATTCTTCTGGATAGACTTTAACAGGACATGAAAACTACTGACAAAAATAAACAACAAAGATTTCTGCACATATATTCTGAATGACCTTGTTTCCACGTCTGACAAAGAAAATGTGACTTTGTTCATCCGAGTTTCAAAAAGGTGAGATATTGTCACCTGTTCCGTTTCAGTTTGTACATGGATGATCTTTCTAAGTCACAAATAGAGTGCTGGTTATATGATAGACGAGAGTCTTATTGATATTTTGATAGATGCTGAAATTTCAGTTATTCGATTGCGTCATAGTGCTGGCTCACAACAGCTGTTCACAGAGTAAGTGCTTCAGTTGAGGAATTTTTCTCTTCTTCTGTGTGGGAGATGAAGAGGTAAATTTTGTGAATGCAGGTTGATTTTGAGGACATGCGATCTCTGTGGTGATGATGTTGAGAATGTGCAGAGTTTGTGTTGTAAGTACAACCAGATATCCTTGCCTGTAATTTTACATCTGCTCAGATTATGTTAAAATAGCTGTTTTTAGAGACTACTGTACTCCATTATTTACTGCACACCTGTGGTGTATATTTAGTAAAGCAAAAAAAGAAAACTTCAGGGTGCATGTCACCCTGACCTTGATCAAGCCTCCAAGGTGGAAAAGGACATGCCAAATGTTTGTGATGCATAAAGTTCCTACCTTCCACTGTCTGCTGATAAGATTTTAATCAATGAATGGATTCAGATGGAGTCATAATGGCCTTGATTGGACCAGCTTTAAGTGACACAAGATATTTCACCTGCTTCTGGAAACAGTGGAATAAAAGCTCATTTAATTGTTGCGTTTTGGTTTATTTTGTGTTATTACAGAGGTGATGATGTTGTGGGTGTTATTGTTCTTATGTTTTTAGAATTTAGATTAAAATAAAAGCATGTCTCTTAACATTTATAAATAACTGCATTAAACTTTCCCACATCTACTCTGATTAACATGCTAAATAATCAAATATTAGTTTTAGTTTTTATTAGTAATTATTAGTTATTTATTTAGCAATTACCAATATTAGGGTTTTTATTATTAGGTTTTTTTTTATTAGTTATCTTTCAAAATAGGGTGATTTTGACATGTTATTAAAGTCTCTTTTTTAAATCAGAGATTATCCTCACAAGATTTGGTGAAACATATTTAAAGTAAAAAAAAACTCCACAACCAACTCTGAGTCGAAACAGTGGATTCTGGAACAAAGAACAACATGAGCATCATGTGAAATCAAAAAGTTAGTTTTGCAGAAAAAATTATTCACACATAACTTTGTGCTTTTCTCCATCACAACAGTTGACTGACATAATATTTCTTGACAGCAGCCCTTCCTCAGTGCTTGTGGTTCATTGTTAGCTCATTAACACGAGTGAATGAAAACATTTTGGGTGTAACCCACAGGTCTTACAGGTATTTTCACATCACTGTCAAACTTTCTGTTATATTTGTTTGAGTTCCATGCAGGCATGTTTGTTTCTCTCTAAGAAGCTGACGACTCTCACGAGATAGTTTATGATGTGGTGATAGAAGAGCAGGGCTGGGTCAACAGTTAAAATAGCAGAGCAGACCTGACTGAGGTCAATTGCACACAAGTAGTAGCCTCTTGTGTCTAACAAAAACATTAAAATTCTTCTGTAATGAAAAGTGAAAGCTGTCTCAGTTTTCTTCCAGTGATCTAACCACTATCGAACCTTGTTATTATTTATTAATATTTATATTGTAATTGCTTTGGAAAACACTAACACGATTAAAAAGGCGGTTAAGGTTAGGCATAAGGTTATGGTTGATTGGGATTAAGGTTAGGATTGGGGCTGTAATACAGGGCTGGAACATGTGTTACCACCGGGAGCGTCAATCTATTGGATTCCATCCAAAACCCGCCATGTCTCATACTGAAAGCGGGAACGCGGAAGGTTACCTTTTGCGTTACTGAGGAAGGCCTCAGGACTTATCAAATCGTCAGTATATTAGACTGTAACTGTAACAGCCAATCAGAGTTTTTGCATCCAGGTCTGTGATTGGTTGGTTTTGTGGTACACTTATAACGGTACAAGAGTTGAGCATACATCGGAATGAGAACGGGCTCAAATAAAATTCAATTGGATTGAATCCTGGACCAAAGAACAATGAGACACTTTGTTTCTTAGTTTATTGAAGTAGTTTGTTCCAGTTTACAAAGGTTAATAAGCTTTCAGTACCTCATTTAACAGAAGTTCATAATAAACCATAAAAGATCATTTATCTTGTCTCGTCTGTCTGTTAATTCTTATCTAGTCTATTAAAGAAAAAAAACTGTACTGCATCATCTACCTCTTCATGATACTCACTCACTCAATGGTCTATCTTTACATAAAAGAAAAAAACAATTTCTGAGCACTCATAGCTATAAGTTCTTCTGTATTGTGTTTACCACCTTCATTAGTTTTTCAACCTGATCAGGACCTGATTTGTTGTTCTCAAAGAGAACACACCTGTTTCCACACTTTTCAACCATTTTCTTCAGATCAGGTTGGCAAGAATGAAGAAAATCCTCCAAGCCCATTCCTGCCTGCTGCAAGTCGTTTCCTCGGGTGAACAGGATGATTGTTCGTCCTCTAACTTCCCTCCCAAAAGCTTTTTCTAACTTTTCCATTATGTCTCTCTCACCATCTGTAAATCTGCTCACATGCATCACAAGTACAAACACACATGGTCCTGACTCACACAGTTGTTTGCACCTTTTCACATGTTTGCCCCTAACTGATGGAGCAATGTCATCATCAAACATATCTGGGGTATCAATCACATTTACGTCTACACCACTGATCTCAGTTTGTACATTCTGGCAATTTGTGGTGACGGCCGTTGAACTGGGTCTAGAAACAAAGTGTTTCTGTCCAAGGATGGTGTTCCCACTGGCACTCTTTCCAGTCCCAGCCATTCCCAAAAGAACAAGGTTCACTGTGGTGCCAGTGTGTCGTCCTGCATAGATGTATACCAATAATAATGTAAGTGAAAGTGAAAAAAGAATGTGGTTAAAATGAGTGAATCTTTGTTGCAGTGTTTTTCATTAAGTGCTCTTTGCTTCAACCATCATGAGAAAAATGCTGATTGACTGAATAACCCGTTAGTATGTTCTTTATATAGTACTTAAAAGTGATTGTGGTTTACCTGTCTTTGCCTCGTCAGTGTGTGGTCTTGTTATACATTGTAATCCACGGTCCCAACTACAAGTTAGATATAGAAGAAATACAACTTCATCAGGAAGCTGGTTGTTGTTTCATAAATAATTATTACTATAATAGTTTGCAAACATTTCAGAGTTTTTTCTATTAACTACATTTATAAAATATTTCATAGCATACATGTACCCATGTAAAGACATTACGTTCACAACTTGATTTACATGCTAAAGCTAAATCAAAAGTGCTCAACTTTAGCTTTACCTCAGTGCCGCCGGTTGTCTGTCTTTAGTGTCGTTGCTTCTGAATATGCTGAAAAAGCTTCCCATGATGCAGGATTTGAGCGAATAACCTGTGGGTTTAAATGTCAGTGCCAGCACAACTCTGAACTCTTCCTTTTTGTTTAAGTATCCTTATTTAACAACTTAGTATATCTGAGTTGTTTTCAGATGATTCACATAAATCTTAAATCTAAAGTTAACAAAGGTCTATTAAGAAATTTATCATGACAGATGTAAAAATAGCCTTTCTCTGATACTCTTTAAGAAATCAGAGCCCTTTTTTCTCATTACTTAGATTTTTTTTATTGCTACAAAGCAAATACATGTACAAGCACAACTTACATTAAGTGGAAGTTGTTCAGTCTGTTGAAGCAAAACTCTGTGTGACTCTGTCTAAAGCCTGCAGACTGCTGTTCTCTGACTGTATAATACTGCAGGAGGCGTGTCATCTGTTGAGCTATAAAAAGCAAGTTGTGGCAGAGCAGTTTTAGCATTCATCTCTCACCTGTGCAGTGACAACAGTGAAAAAAAATGGCTTTAATTCCAGCAGGTAAGACTTATTATTAATCATTGTTTTTTAAATTATTTTCCTAAAGTGTGAAAACTTCTCAGTTTCACTTTGGTTCTTGTAAAACTCTTGTGTACATGGGTTAAATCAAATTAGTCATTTGTGTTTCAGGTCCTGATTTGAGGATTGTGATGATTGGAAAAACTGGTGTGGGCAAGAGTGCTGTTGGGAACACCATCCTGGGATGTGAGCATTTCAGATCTTGTCCTTTATCTGTATCAGTGACTGAGTTCTGTCAAAAAGCTTGGACACAGTGGGGGAAAAGAATAGTTAGTGTTGTAGACACACCAGGGATCCTGGACACTTCAAAATCAGACGAGTTCATCAAAAGAGAAATTGTGAAATGTGTTGAAGTCTCCTGTCCCGGTCCTCATGTGTTCCTGTTGGTCATCCAAATCGGCCGATTCACCAAAGAAGAGAAAAACTCAGTGGAAGCCCTGCAGGAGCTGTTTGGCCCCGAGGCAAACAAGTACATGATTGTGCTCTTCACCCGTGGTGGTGATCTTGGAGGCATATCCATAGAGCAGTACGTACGTGATGCTGAGCCAGGGCTTAAACGCATCATCCAAAGCTGTGGAAACAGGTACCACGTCTTTGACAACACTAGCAGCGACAGAAAGCAGGTGGTGGAGCTGGTCAAGAAGATCGACAAAATGATGGAAGTAAATAGAAACACGTACTACACAGACGCCATGTTTAAAGAGGTGGAGGAAGCACGCAAAAAGGGAGTAACACTGCAGCAGTATAGGTTCACTGAGTCATTGTGTAAACGTATCAAACTCTTTCGCATCATTCTGGGGAAAGATTAAAGTGTTGTTATTCTACTGTAATTATTCTATTCTGAATAGGACAGCTTTTGTTTACCTACATGAAATATACAATCTGTTCATGATGACACACAGTGTGTAGATAGCTGTGTAGGATCAATATACGTTGATTTCCCATAAAGAAATAACACAATAAAATATTATTGATTATGTGAGTTTATCTTTTGATGTTAAAGAAGAAAGTATTTATAAGTGAAATAATGATCATGTAAGCTGTCTATCAAAGCATTTATTTTCTCTCTTGCATCTATTCTGATTTGTATATGTGAATGAAATTATGGTGGTTATGTCTGAGTTTAATTGTACACTAATTTAATCTATTGAACAATTTAGGGGACAA